AAAAACAAAAGTTGTATCCAAGATGGCCGACTTCTAAATGGCCACCATGGTCACCACCCATCTTGAGGAGTTTGCCCCCTCACATATACTAATGTACCACAAACAGGACTTTAATATCACCAACCATTCCCATGTTAATACGGTGTATCCATATAAATGGCCCACCCCTCTCTGACCAGCAGTCTAGAGCTTTTCAGGGTCCATTTTCATACATTAGCCTAAAATTTATATTATTAACCGAAATGGCAACATCAGTGGTAATAGTAAAGAAATTGAGTTAATGATAACGGAGTTACTATTTTTTTCTGTTCTATTTATCTACCTTTGTCTTAATTTTCTAATTTATTTACTTTTGATTTAATTATTCATCCCCTTTATTCAGTTATTTTTAGCTCATCCAATCGTAGAACTGATGAGCTTATCCCACAACTGTCCTGCTCTCTTACTACAGTATTTGGTCCGATTTTGGTGAAATGAACATGGTGATCACCTAATTGGTCTTCAGCAAAACTGTCCTTAAGGTCGAGGTCACATTTGTTGTTTTATGGGCAGTAACCTGTGAATGTGGTGGATGCATTTATTTCTGTTTCTTCATTCTCACTTTTTTCTATTCTTATGCTTTTCTGCTTCAGCATGAAAATGAGGGAGGCATCATTTAAAGTCTGTAATGGGTCAAGTTTTGGACTTCTGTTTGAGCGTGGCTGGGTTTATAGAGAATGGCTGAACAAGAAATAAATATGTTTGAGGGCAGACTAGAAAGGATGAATGAATTAATCCATAAAAGAAAATGTGAGTTCATGCTTTATACTGAGTTGAATTTAAGAACTTCCACAGACAAAGTTGGTCTAGATTGATTGATAAGTCAGTAGATACATATTAGATTTTCTGCATAAACTCAGAGTTTGAGTTGGATAAATCAAAGTCAGACTTTTTAAACCAAAGATGAAAAAAGTAAATCTCTCCAGTGGAAATGCTGCAGGAATCAAAATCTTTTTGGCCTTTTGGTTGAAGGTTGTTTTTTTTTCTTTTTTTTTAAAATCTAGTATTCACAGCAGCTCTGATGTTTTAATATACAGTAGGTACGAGGACTGAAAATTACATGGAAAAACGAATGGCTCTCTGAGCTGTCATGTTGCTTTCAGGTGAAGCTGCGATTCAAAAAATTCCTCAAAGCTCTTTTCAAGCAAATGCTGGATGAGCACCTCTCATCAGGACTGGCTGCCTCTTCAGGAGCTTCAGCATCTGGAGATGTCGCCCAGGGGACCGCGGCCGTTGCCTCCAACACCCCTCCCCGCTGCTCAGCTGACGGCCTTCAGGGCGTGCTTGTCCACACGCTGGTGGTGAGCCACGGTGCTTACATTCGTGTAGCCATCTGGCACCTTGTGGAGGACTTAAATTGCGCTCTACCTGCAGGGGCGAAAATGCAGCAAGTGTTTTCCCCCTGTCCGAACACGGGCATCAGCCGCTTTATTCTCACTCTGAGTGAGTCTGAGTCTGGGCCGGTCCTCTCCGCTGCTCGCTGTGTTTTTACCAACAGGAAGGACCACCTGGAGAACCTCGCAGATGGTGAATAGCACAAAAGAAAATAAAGGGGTAGATGTTCTCTGCTTGTGTGTATATATACACACTATCTGATGGATGATGGAACTATTATAAGCACTAATCTAGCACAGGTAACTGAAGGCTACGTTGCACAGGGTAATTCATGTTTTCTCAGTCGCTGTGTTTCACTGTGGATCAACGCTCAGATTCGGTGTACAGTTCTGTTTCATCATGAAACCATGTCTGTCCAGCTGTAGGCCAGTAAGGTGACCTTTCATATTTAAATTGTTTAAAAACTGATCATTAAATTGCCTCTTTTATCGTGTTACACCAAAGTTTGAAGTATTTAATGTATTGTGGCATTTCTTGTGTGGCAGTTGTGCTGCTGCTCATTTTATTGTGTGCAATATTTCGTGAGAGCACTGATACTTTGAGTTTGTGTTTAACATTTCATACAATCACAAATAATGAGGGGAAAAAACAAGTTGCACAAATCACAGAATGCTGTGAAATTACTTGCAGGACATTTGTGGATGTATTGTCTTTTTTCTGGGTGCTACATATTCATAAGATCTTTTTATGTTGTCTGACATCATTTTATCTCCAATAAATGACTGATGCAGCTCATGATGACCTCAATCAATAAACCATGGTCTGATTTATTCCCAATAGCTGTGTATAACTGAAAAGCTGATGAAAACCAATTTAACACATAGGCATCTCTTAATGGGCTACAGCAGTAGAAGACCACACTCCAGTTCAGAACAGGATACTGAGGCTACAATTTTCACAGTTCACCAAATGAGACCAGAGAAGATTGGAAACGTGTCATCTGGTCTGATGAGTCCATTTCTGCTGCCACATTCAGATGGTGGGATCAGAATTTGATGAGAACGGCATGAAAGCATTGATCCATCTTGGCTTCTATCAACAATTCAGGCTGGTGTAGGGTTAATAGTCACCCTGCATGAGTATTTTTGCTGATCATCCGTTTATGAACACGGCATCTACTGATGGCTGCTTCCAGCAGGAAAACAAAGCATGTCACAAAGGTCAAATCTCAAAATGGTTTCTTGAACAAGGCTATGAGTTCACTGAACTCAAATGATCTTCACGTATTTGTAAAATGGGAATCAAATGGTCCCCACAAAGGTTAAAGGTTATTTTACTAGACTGAACCTCAATACAAAATAGAGATGCATACTGTACTTTAGTGTTTTAGATTTCCGCTTTTCTTAATTCTGAGGGAAAGGTAAAGGAAGCACAGATACATTTAACCATGTTTAGAGATATGATTCAATCTAATGCTAATGCTAAAAGTTAGTGCACTGGATTTTATAATGTTAGAATAATAAATAAGGGGGGGGGATTATGTTTTTGGGAAACTTGTCGTATTTGAGGGCAGACACAAACGGCTGCTGTTGTTTGCATTGAAGGATTTGTTGACATTACTGGTGCTACTTCCTCTGCTACGGTTACGGTGCTAAGTCAGCATTTTCAATTTCTTTTGAATCCATGTTGGATGTCTTTAAGTGCTGATGGGAGATCAGTTTTGCTGCTTCCACCTATTTTTAATATCCTGTTGTGAGTCTCTCGGTAGGTCAAAGTAACAGATATCCTTAAAAAAAAACAACAACTTGCAAACTCTGACAGGGCATTATGGATACCACTCTCATGCAGTTCAGTTTATTCACAAGTATATTAAAATACAAATTCCAACACAACAATATATAAAATAGGTATTTGTGAAATGGAAATCCCCCAAAACTGTTTACGGCTTTTAAAAAGAAGTCCAAATGTCACATTATACACACCAAACACAACATGGAAATTCTTAACATACGTGATCATACTGACCTAAATCACTACAGGGATCCTAACATATAAATTACATCCAATACATCTACAGTATGAACCTCATATAGAGAGTTATTACAGTTTTTAAAAGCTCATTGCCACTCAGAGTTCAAAATCAAGCATAATTTAGTAGCAACTGTTGGATTAAAGTCTGTGTGAAGGAAGAAAAAGACATGTTTAAAGTGCTTTGAAGCTCCTCCCAAAATTCTGGACCTCTTGAGGTCACACTAACACATCTACATTTAAGTTTTCTTTCCCCTGAGAAGTTTTTTTTTTCTTGGTAGAGCTCACAAAGTCTTATGTTGACTCTAAATGCTACAAGCGTCATGAAAAATGTCACATTCAGTTGACTTCAGAAGTTTGAAAAGAAGATCTATAATCTGTCAAGATATGTGGGATAAGCATTGCACCATCTAACATTGCTTTACCTTAAGTGAGGTACAAACAAAGACTGGTCGATGGTCAGTAGTGCTTCACATGAAAGAAAATGGCTAGTTTTATAAATAAGCTAACACATTTGGATAATTTCTTCTTGATTAGATCATCAGTCTTACATATTACATTTGCAGCTTTGTTTCAAAGATTATAAAAGAGTTAAACTGTTGTTTGCTGTTATCTAAAGTAACTGAACTTAATCAACGCAAATGGTATGAAAAATACTTTTAAAGTAAAACATTAACAGATTTACCAAAAAGAGCGCACAAAAACAACTCACAAACACAGAACGTATTTTCTTTTATTACTTTATTTTGTCCCAAATTCAAGCAACACTCCATCCAAGACCCCAGCTCATACATTCAAAGACAAACCAAGTTTCCCTTTATGTACATTTGAACTGTCTCACAAATAAATAAAACGAAGGAATGGATTTAAATAAATAAATACTCGTTGGGACTCTTTTTTGTGTTTGCTGGTGGCACCCAGCACCTGTAAAAGTCACATAACTGGAGTTAGGAGTTGACATCTGTAAAGGTTATTTACCCTGTACATATATTCCTTCAAGCCATGTATTAAAGACTGGTGGAGGATACACAAATGAGTGATGGCAGTGAAAAGTTGTGGGATTTCCCTGTTTAATTCCAATTTAAGAAGTTAAAAACCACACAGAACTTTCAAATATTTAATCTTAACCTACCAAATAAAAACTTTATAGTATGTTCGTCATATATATCGCTTTCTTTTTGTTTTAAACCATTAAATGGTGCCTTCAGTAATCCAGATGCAGGCTAAGTGGAGCTTCTGTCATGGGAAAAAACATCAGTGTCACTTTTGAAATGTGGGTTTCTCAGACCAGCTGTAAAAACCTCATTGAGAAGAAACCACAAAATCAAAGATTGCGCACACATGTACACTGATTTGGGGGTAATTAATTTGAAGGGCTCTGGTGATTTTGTGAGAGAAACCAAATAATATTCCGAAAGAAATCCTGATCAATGCTCAGCGTGAGAGCATGCCAGTTGGAACATCTGGACACCTAAGATATTATTTTAAAGTGAATACAGGTTAAAACACACGTCCCTCGACTTAAAATCTATATTTACAACTGCGTGAAAACTAAATTAAAAGGAAAGAGAAGGCTGCAGGCGCAGGTGAGTTTAAAGACAATATAAATTGTGCAAAAAGAGTTGCAAGTCAAGTTTGTACATTCAGTGTATAAACACACTGCATTGCTGAATGATGACTAAAAACGTTTTTAAGTCAGTGTGAAAAAGAGGGAACGACCTTGTTCTGCTTTCATTTTTCCATGAAGTCTCATGTTAATATTTTTTCTCTTGTATGATCTAAACTAAAACGTTAAACTATAGACTCACGTAGACTAACTGAAGGCTACCGTGGTCTTTCTCAGCCAACTGTCCCGGCGCTCCGGGGACTGGCCGGGTTGGAGAAGTGCACGTTCCAGGGGTCGTGGCTGGATGGAGCCGCGAGTTTCTCCCGGGACACGTTGCGTCCGTCATCCCCGATCTCTGTTTCTATTTCCGTCTCCATTTCCACCTCCATTTCCTCCAGCTCCTCGGGCACGGCCCGGGAGTCCGAACCCTCTTCTGTCTGCCCTCGGTTCCTCTTCTCCCTGTGCAGCAGGAGGCGCTCCAGTGGTACGGTGTTTTTCCTGGGCAAGAAGAGGGAGGTCTGCGGCAGGTTCTGACCCGCCGAGTACACCTGTCGGGAGCCCTCCAGGTTGAACAAGATGCCGGTCCGGCTGGAGTAGTACACGTCCCGGTTGTTCTCCAGGAGCTTGTGGTTGAACAGACAGTCATCCCGAAGGCAGACAGGCTGGAAAAGAGAGAGGTGAGAGGGGCAAAATGAAACAAACGGAAATAACCAACCAAATCTTTCTTTGATGCATCCCATGAAATAAATGTTTGTTTGTTTTTAAAACTGTTTAAATTTAAAAATAAATAAATAAATAAATAAATAAAGATCCACATTTAGAAATAAATCGGATCGCATGGAAAACAAAAGTGTTTTGCGAGATTATTAAATATAAAATACACGAAAAACAAACCACACAAACACAAAAAACTCACATTAATTACTTCATAGCTCAGAGAAATACAAATAACTCGCTGTTTAGTCAAAGAAACGGTGAAAAACAAATATGGACTTTTTTTTGCATTATTTTGTGCAGAAAAACATCATAAAAACTATAAATGTAATAAAAGTAACTGAAGGTTTGAGGTCTGAGTTTATTGACAGTGACCTTTATCGATGAATGAATATTTATTTTAGACACACTGTCTAAAACTAAGTTGCACAAGGTTCCGACGAAATGCGTGAGGTCGATTAAATCACAAATAAACACTGAGTGAATTCAATTTAATTATTTGCTTACAGAGCTGAACGGGTTGCCCTCCAGGTCCATGCACAGGTAACGGCTGCTTTTGACGCCGAGGATGGCGACACAATCTCTTGCTTCAGATTTCAGTAGAATCACACCTGCAGGAGGAGAAAGTAATAATAATCATACGAGAGTACAGACTTTCATTATACTACAGCATAAATATTAGAGTTATCTTACTACAGGTGCTCCTGGACGTAGTTTTGCGCACACTCCCATCTAATCTGATCTCCAAGTAGAAGTTATTGAGGTCTGTGGATGTCTGCAGGTGGACGTATCTCCTTGGGTTCCCCCAGGTGGATCCAACCAGAGGTGATGGGTTCGGGACCGTATCCCCGAGAGGAAATCCCTGCAAGACAGCGAGGAAGAGCGCCAGCACTGTGTCTCTCATCCCCATTCGCCTGTTGACGTACATTCTGGTTCAAACTTCGAGCTCCTGGAAGTTTTCAGATGCTCTGTTGTCGCAAAGTTTGGAGACAGTTCCTATTTAAAGCCCCCCGAGCGCCACTCCTGCTCACATCCTTTGGGTAAAAAAAAAAGAAAAAGAAAAAGAAACTCGCCCCCAAAGCAGATTTGCGGGTTTGCTGCAGCGGAAGGGCCACTTCCACCTCTGTCTGTTTACACCGATGCTGCTGGTCAAACAGCAGAACTCTTATTTTTGGTTAGTCTTGAGTCATCCACCTTAAATTAGACCTGTTACCAAATAATTCCTGCTTTAGTTTGGTGTAAAAAGATGTGCAGGGTAAATTAAAAGAAAAAAAAACGGAACTTACATTTTATTTTTAATCAAACCAGACACGGGTCATAGTATCATTTAGCTGATTATAATTAAGACGTACATTTTAAATTAAATAACTTATTATATATGTTTAACAGAACCAGTTAACCACGGTGGACTAGACTTATGTGCTGGTTCAGTTTGCCTTTGCGCACCTGCAGAGCTCAACAGTCCCTGTGTTTGACCAGCAGAGGGAGACACTTCCTTATATAGAGCAGAGAAACGAAAGCCTGACGGCAAGACTGACAGAATAGTTTCCCCAGAACATCACTCGAAACTCACGCTCTAGTTTTGTGAAAATCAGTACCATTAAGTGCAGCCAAATAGTTAAAAACTTAACAGAAATGTTAAATACCAGTGGTGGAAAGTAAGTTTATTCATTCTGTACAGCCAACAAGCCTTTAGATTTAACATGTGGCCTTCAGAGGAGGCCTGACTCCTACACTTGGACCTGCTGTACTGAATTACTACACTCTAAGACGGATGTTTGTCTGGGGTTGAAAAGTGTATTAAACTGCCTCAATTGTGCATTGTTTCCAATGGCCAGCAGGGGTCGACTCTTTAGACTGCAAAAAGGTTGTGTGGAAGTCATCTAGAAAATACTGCTCACTTGCAGGGAAGAGGATTAGCGCATTTTTATAGTAGTATTTGTAATGAACTTTTTGTGATTATTATAGAAAAGTAAGAATTCTGGAAGAAATTTTGACAACTAATTCTGGCAACAATAAAGACTGAATTCTGATTAAATCAGAATACTGAGGAAAAAAGTCTATGCGAAAATATTGTTTCCCTCACAACCAACAGGCATGCTATATATATATATATTTCACTTCTGTTCACTTCACTTTCAAGTTTTGTTTTGCTGAATTCACTATGATTTTTTTTTTATGGTCCAACTTAGAGTAACAAAGGAGGATTAGGGAGAGTTTGCTCTACTTTGTGAAAAGTGAGCAGTGACAGTTGATTTTCTTAGTCAGATTCACCTCCAGTTTGTCAGGTAAAAGAGTTTAGAGAGATAAAGAGTTTAACCAGTGCTACACAAAGAATCACACCTTTTCAAGCAGTTTAAAAAACCCCAAAACAAACTTTTATTGGTATCTCAGGAATACAGTAGACTGCTGTGCACAGCACATACGTACAAAAATAAAAGGAAAAAACTTTAATATCCTTACTTAGCATTGTCTGTTTTCAGAAACAATTAACTGAAGTTTGTTTCTTTTCATTTACAGTCATCAGCAAACCAAAACTAAGGCAGAAGGTGAGGTATATGAGAACAGAGGAGAGGAATAGAGAAGGATTTAAAAACAAAACAAAAAAACAGAGAAAAAGCACACACCCTTAATCAGATTCAGAGCTCAGGCATGCTAAAGTATGTTAATCATTTTTTTTTTTTTAAAGAAATTCCTCACCTTGACTTAATTAAATTTGACCTATGATAAGAAAATGGAAGAAAAGAAAACAGATAAATCTGGATACATTTCTTTCTTTTTTTTTTTTGGTCAAAGCTGATAGGTGAGCGTTTTGTTTTAGACACAAACTTTCCCTCTTTTAGAGATTGTTTTTCATGACAGATATTGTTTGAAAATTCGCTTCCTTACACTTGTTTCTAATCAAGATGTCCTTGATAAGGGGCTGCCAGAGACATTGGACATCTTGATTAGGGTGCTGGGTGAGAGAAGTGCTCTTTGCTTTCATGTCTTGCTCAGCTGAAAATACAGATTCACAACGGTTTACTCCCGAGGAGATCAGTGATATGACACGCAGCCTCATCAATGACAACAATGAGCCTTTTTTTCCCCTTTGTTCGTTTTGCTGACATTTTGAGCTACATTTACTTTGCTGTATATAGCCTTGGCATTTGCAAAAAAATGCCCTCAGAGCAGAAACAAGCCATTTAAGATTGGAGAAGAACACTGTTATGATTAAATGAGCAGCATGTGATAATGTGGCGTGTTCAAATTTTGGGGTGCAGATGGAGCTCAGCAGCAGCAGCAGCAGCAGCAACAGCAGCAGAGGGCACGCCCTGAGGATGACTGGGGAGCTGTCCTAAAGGACTGGAGTGCAGCAGGAGAGGTGAGGTGAGGCTTTGCGTGACTCTGCTCCCCACACACTGCATTAACTCTGCAGATGTCCCCTCCACAGAAATATCCCTACATGACTATTTAGAAAGGAGAGTTGACAGCAAATTGCAGGGCTATATTTTAAAGAGGTGGGGCTCTAGTTTCATAGGATGTAGTGCTGTTTCAGAAAATACTGCAGGTAAAAGGAACTATTAGAAATATGTTTTTGAGGCCTTAAGACAGTCCGACCCATATAGAAGACCACCCTGGTCATTGGGGTCGGGGTCCGTAACTCTGACCTTGAACTAAAAAAGGCTGAAAGGAGAGGAGGAAGCTCCTGGGTTACAGCTGGAATCCCAAGGTCTCTTGCTACAGTAAGTAAGCTGTGGGGTGAGGGACAGGCAGAGGTGGGAGGGTGGGATAGAGCTCAGGTATGTGGAAAGCTGCCTGTCATCCTGGCAGATCCGCATTCCTGCAGCAGGTTTGAAGAACAACAAAGACAGCAGGCCAGCTCTGTCACATACGTCTTTCCTAGATTTAAATAGTCCTGTTTCCTCTGTCACAGGCACAGACGGAGGCAGATGATCAAGCGTTCGTCAGTTCTGTTTTTTTTTTTAAGTAAACAGCTGCAGAAAGTACAGGGGTGAATGTACTTGGGAAGACTCTCAGGAATTCTCAGAATGAGGCAAGAGAAACATCTTTGGAATATATAACAAGATATTTGTGCACACTAACAGCGGGTCTGCAAAGCTTAATACACCTCTAATAAACTTTTCTTATTAAATAATGATTTTTTGACTAGCTCAGCCATTCAGCTATAGCAAACTAAGATCAAAATCAACAGAAATACAGATGCAGAGTTAAGAATGTGGATCCAGTCCTCGAGCTGAACCGCGCTTTAGTCCTTAAAGTAATCTATAATTGCATTTCAAAACATTTACCTCCAACACCTCACTGCCACTGCAGTGCTGCTGCTGCTGCAGGAAGCAGATTCAAGCAGGGGAATTGCCCCAGGGCATGCACATCCTCCACCAAACTCACTGATGTGAGGGAAAAAACACAAATGTGGAAGCAAAGAGAACATTGAGGCACCATCATCGATGGTCGACTGTGCAGCCTGAACTCTTAACGCCTCATCCAGGCAACTGTAACAAAGCAGCATTGTATGGTTTTTTTTGTTTTTAAAAAAAGAAGAAAGAAAAAAAAGCTCCTGAATTCTTCTTCTTTTACATTTGCCAACTATTTACAAAGTTTTTTTCATTGGTTTCATGGACAGTAGACATCATTTTCAATAGCAGCTATATCTTTGCCATTCAGAAAAAATAATAATAAATAAATAAAAACCGCATCCCAGTTTACTGTGGGAGCTCTGTCCAAGACTATGTGCTGTAACATTTCTACTGTGTGCTCTATCTGCTCAAATAAAAATTTTCTCCATGCTGGGATAAATACATATTCCACCCTGTTTATATTTCGGCAATCCCACAAAGTCAAGCTCGTGGCCTTGTGCCAGTCCACATGGCTGACGGCTCTCTGGTCTCAACCACAGATTGTTTATTACTTAATCGATCTAATTACAGAAAATAAAATAAACCAGAGATAGTCAACCCCCTCCCCCTCCCCCTTCTGAGGCCCTGTTCGGTGTGTCAGCCCTATTTCTGACTCCAGCGGGTGTCTCTTACATGCAACTTTAAGGGGGCCACAAGTGGGAACACCAAGGCACCTTTAAATCGTGCAGCAAAGGTAGTGAATTTAACCACTGCCAGCTATCGATAATCAAGCGCTTAAAGGTTTGCGGAAAAAATAAATAACAAACTTAGCAGATATTTGAGCAGAACTCCATGCATCCCTTAATCGAGTAAAGTGGTTCTTTGAGGTAACAAAAAGTATTCATTTCACTCTCCAAAAGCACAGAATACAGCTCATCCTCCATCTCAACAAAAAACAAAAGGAAGTGACATTTAGTTTAGTTGCAGCAAGCACCAAGGTAAAGTGGGACAGGCAAAGTCTTCAACTTTCCCCTGTCCATAAAAACAATAAGCAGCACAGTATGGCATACATATACAAAGATAACTATCCAAATATACATATATATGTATATATATATATCAGAATAAATATTTGTCTTTTCTTTTGCAGTCCATGGGTGTGTACATCATTACTATGCATTTCTATATTACCTGGAGGAACATCCACATGTGCAAATTGTTAAGTTATTGCCAGTTTCTCTCATAGTCGTGGGAGGAAATGTGTGACAGTCATGGCGGTGGTGGCCTTGTTGCCTCTCTTTACACGGCCATGCTTGCTGAGGGCGATGTAGAAGCCCTTGTAAACAAAAGACTCATAGGCGTTGTAGTTGTTGGGCAGCAAAGTCTCCTTGAACTTGCACTCGTCCTTGAAGACTCTCTAGAAAAAGAGAGAAGGACAGAGGGGTGGGGGCAGGGAGGGGGTGAGGGGTGTCAGTAAATCTCATGACAGACGCAGTACGAACATCACAACATATGCATGGTTTCCACATGACCTCTGCTTTGGAAAACAGCCTGCCTTAGACAGCATGCTTTGAGGGAAACAGGAGGA